ATTTTTTATAATAGAAAGATATAATAAATAATATAAATTATTATATTATAAATAAATTAATAAATAAAGCTATTAAATTATAAATAGCTTATATAAAATAGAATATAAAACTAATAATTATTAAGCTAGTAATAAAAGTAATTAATATATAAAAGAGTAGACTAAAAACTACTAAGATTTTAGATAATATATTTAACTTTATTATTATTATCTTTAATAGTATTTAAATATATTATAGATATTAGATATAGTTTAAAGATAGATATTAAATAAATATAGATTATCTAAGCTATCTATATAAACTATTAGATAAAAAGATTTTAATTTAAACTATAGTTTTTAAATATTTTTATTTTTTAGTAGAATCTATAAAAGCTTAACTCTTTTAAATAATAGAAGTAAGAAATTAATTCTTATCTAGTATAATATATAGAAGACTTTATATAACTTTTTAATAAGAAAAAAAGATAGAAGTACCTACTTTATGTATATATTTACTATGGTAAAAGAGGTATAGTCTGTCCTTCTAGTCGATCTTAGCAGTTTTTAGTGTCTTGGCGATGAAATGCAGTATATGAAAAATAGTCAAAAAAATTTTTGACGCGAGAAGTTCAGGGCCTAAACGGGGTGCGGAAAATCCCGTTGTCCAAGTCACTCAATGGACTCGGAAGTCATTTAGGCCCCGAAATGGAACGCGCTGGGTTCGGCTGGCCTGTCGTCGTGATGCTGCACACACCTCAGCTTCTTCTCATGGCAACAACTAGTCAGCTAATGCAGCTTTGATGTCCCTCCAGTGACATCTTTCCTCCCAAGCTAAGCAGTTGACCCAAAGAAATCGAGACTCATTACCAGGAGGTAGATGTCCACGAAGCCAATTTCCTTTCCAAACTAAAGGTCTCCCTATACGTACCACCATCTCGACCAGCGGCCTTCGCCATCCACCTGATGTAGAATCGCAGACAATGCCCGGGGAAGAAGAGGTATCTTGTATTCGGCGAAAAGAAACATTCGACCTCATCCCAGAGCTGGGGCCACCAGGCTTGCAAATGGCGAGATTTGGAGGATTGAAAATGGGCATGCTTGGCACTTTCCCCCAAGATTCCAGTTGCATCTTCTGTTAAAAACTCCCGCTTGTCCTTGTCAGGCTTCACAAGGACAATATTTCCTTTATGCTTCGGAGGCTGTGCTAATCTCAAAACCCACTTGATCTCTATCTCGACATGACGTCGAACTTTATTTATCCTTCACTCGATACCTCGCGGCCGTCCATTCGCTTACTAGCCGTTCATGAGCCCACCGAAATCAACGGCCCGCTGATATGCCATTTAGAGCCGTCAGATCTAGACCATCACCCACCATTTGCGGCGCTGTCTTACGTTTGGGGAAGTCCATCACTGGGATCAGAACTTATCACGCTTGACAACCAGCCATTCAGGGTTGGTATTAACCTAGCGGTTGCGCTTCGATTCTTTCGCGACGAATTCAAGACTTCGGCGAAGCCAGATTTCAACCCTCCGGTATTTATCTGGGTCGATGCCCTGTGCATCAACCAAGCCGACAATGCTGAGAAAGCGGATCAGATTGGGCGCATGGACTTGATTTACAAGTCTGCTTCAATCGTCATTTCCCACTTAGGCTTGGGGAATGATTTGGCAAAGCATGGCGCTGAAGCCATACGGGAACTTGGTCGCGCATGGAACCGTCTTTGGAGCGAGGCTGGCCGGAAAACGTCGCCTAGTCAGGATCCTAAGGACCCCCGCGCGGACATATTCCAGCGGTCCACCCTACAACTTGACGAAGGAAAAACAGCAGAGATACTTCAAGAACTTGCATCGGCCTTACAGGAAAACGCTTGGGAGTCTGTTCAAGCGTTTCTTGACCTATCCTATTGGACCAGGATATGGATCATCCAGGAAATAGTTCTTGCTCGAGATGTCGTTTTGGTCTTACCTGGCACAGCGCCATTGTCATGGACAGAGCTCAGGGACGCCAAGACATTCGCCAGCCAAATTCCAACAATTCTGGACGGTTTCAGAGTGTACGATTCCAGCCTCTGGTCGCCATTCGAAGGCACATCCAAATTACGGTGGGATAACATCGAACTTATCCGAGAGTATAAGGAAGGGAGCCGGTGGAGCCTGCAAATGAACGGGAAGATCCTTTTGCCGTACGCCCTACACATGCTCTTCGGAACATCGGCGCATCGTGCAACTGATCCCAGAGACAAGCTTTTCGGGCTCCTGGGAATTTGTGAGCTCCCTATCCAACCCGACTATCAGCTCCCTGTTAGGGAAGTGTACATGAAGTTTGGGCTCGGGTGCGTATGGTATGAGCTCTTCAACGTCCTCCTTTGGGCGGGTAACGGCTTGGGCATTGCAACGTCACCGGGCCTTCCATCCTGGATTCCGGACTGGCAAGCCATATCCAATTCACACTGGCGAAACCCGATTAGGCCCGAATGGTACGAGGCTAGCGGGTGGATCGATCCTTTTCCCGGTCCTCCTCGGTCGACGCAGCTGGCGAACCTTTCGCATGGGTTCGCATTGACCCTGCGAGGCTACCACTGTGGTAGCATATCGAAGATCTGGCGGAGCACTCCGTTAAAGTCGAGGGCGCTTTTCGACATGTGTTGCGACCTTCGCGGGTCATCTCCCGAACAGCCACCTCGCTACAAAACCGGTATTCCACTCATGCAGGGTATCTTGAGAACATTCTGTCTTGATCATGCACTGGGGGAATTTGAAAAATCTTTCGACTTTGATGACGGAGATTTCGACCAGGTCATTTCCACGGTTCTAGATTTCCTTTCCTTTATCCTCCCCGAGGAAGCTTTCCACGACGAAACTGGCAAACTCCTCGAGGAGTCCCTTACCAAGCTTGGGCTAGACCCGAATTTCCACTTCCCGAAGACACTCAAGGATGAGTATTTCCCTAATCATACCCATAATATTCGAACGGAGATAGACTTGAGCACATTCGGCGATGATGCTCTGCGCCAGGGCTTTCCTGGCCAGAGTCTCTCGGAGCTGCGTAATCACCCAGTCATACGAAGACGGGGTGTTGGCGTTGTCAAGGGAGGCGGCGGGATGCCCTCTCAGGAGCATTTTTTGTCCAGAATCTCGTCCTGGATGGACCGTGAATATAGCATCTATCAGACAACCACGGGCTATCTTGGCGTTGGCCCACCGGGAATGCAGGAAGGAGACGACATATATGTGATTTGGCGCTGTTCTACGCCACTCGTCCTGCGCCATTTTGACGATAACTTACCGGTCACACCGCCCGCGGGTTGCGGCTCGGAACGGACCTACCAACTGGTAGGATCCTGCTTTCTGCTCGGGTTCATGAACAACGAACTTGGCGTGAAGGACGATTCTGACTTCCCCTCGGTGGACCCCGCCGACGATGAGATGTCCCGGCCACCAGAGCTTGACGACTATATCGACTCGATGTTCCCTTCTGTTCTCATTGTTAAATAGTCCCCTGTTCGCTGCTAACTTCGGTCGGCCTATTTTATTCATGGCACTTCGCAATTTTAGCCAGCTGGTGAACATACTGGTAGCCGTCAGTCCCAATTCCAAATTCACTTGGCTAGCCCTCCCCTCCGCAGGAGTTCCTTATGCCCCGAAGGCTGTGGGGGACGACCACGTACTATTTCACGGCAGCGGCGTGCTGGGATGCGTGGACGTAGATTCCTGTATGGTGGCGAATGGTGATCGAGGACTTCTTTAGCAAGAGCTCGGAAAAGAGACCCCCATGTGCATCCTAAAAAAAAAACAAGTGATATAGGGATCAATTATAGGGATATGTGCGCAGAGTCGCCTCTAGAGCCATCTACTGTAGGAATCTTGGTGAGAAAGACAATAAGGCCGCCGAAGCCTCCTGCCTGCTTCCTCTCATTCTGCCATACTGACCTACAGCCTCTTCACCCCATGTTCCTAATCTCCAACATGTCCCGACTGCCAACCCTCTCGAGCCTGATCCACTTACACGACTTTATTGATATAATCATCTAGTGAATGCCACGTCCAGTACACTCCATATTTGCGATAAGATACTGGCGGCCCAATTTGCCACCCTTGCTCGAAGTGTCACTGGCTCAATAGATAAGTCGTCGCCGACGTTATATAGAAATGAATATTAGCTCAGAGGAGAATTCCGATCCTCTTCCACAAATACAAGCCGGAGACATGCGAATACCTCGCGCTTCAGGTGTGAAAATGAACAACAATACCTTTGTGATGACGAAGAGAAGTCAGATGGAGGCTTTGCGAAGCGAGCTGTATCATACCTGGGTGGTGAATACTTGGGCGGCGACTTCTGGGACAGGGAATATGACTCCGAAGAAGACGGCCTATTGGAAAAGAGAAGCCGTCCCAGGACTTATCAGATCACTCTACAAAGACTTGCACCACTTATACCGAAAGCCGCGGACTACCCTACAGCAGGTCCATTGTTGAAGAGGCTAGCCGAGAGTGAAATCCCCAGGCTCCCAATAGCGTGGCAGTAAGTACTACCTTCCCACCACTTTGCTCGGTATCTGTCATGTTACCTAACCTAAGGAGATATAAATCTAGCCACTAATACCAACTTCGACAGTATGATCAAAGACCTCTGCACCAAACCTGGGATTCAGCTATTCAACCCCTATGATCTGCTCAAGAAGGCTGAATTCCCAATTATTGCGCCAAAGATGGCCACAGGACACCCGGTGTGAGGTTCAGCTCATTAAACAATTCTTCCGGACCGCGGTAACGAGAGTTCTCCCTTCTGGAGCGGTAACCAACACCCCTGCCATTGACGAGGAACCTCTCTCTTTCGCCTGGTATGCGGCGGCATCAAAGACAGATTTACTGCCTATCGGAGAAGAGAATAACACTCCCACCACGCTCGGTGACCGGTTCGCTCAAGCCGTCGGATTCGACAGGAACATTTTACCCTTTTTATTTCTCCAGCAGTCTGTGAACGCGAAGATGGGCTTACTATTCAAAGGCTTCAAAATGGTCGGAAAGAAGAAGATCACTACACTGGTAGACCAGCTCAAACATGCCGGAGCAAAAAAAAAGTTGGGCTTAGATATCGCCAAGGAGCTCCTTCTCGAAGGTGTAAGAGAGGTAAGTAAGAGACAGCTCTAGCACCATCAATCCCAGGGACCCCATCTGCTGGCTACGAGCTCGCCACCTGAACACCAAGTCACCCATCACAGACCATTAACTCCTGCTCTCTGCAAAGATCCCAGCCGTGTTCCAGTACATGAACGACGAGACCTTCAAGAGCGTCTTTGGCACCATTAATCTCCTTCGCAATGAAGCAACCCTTGCTGAGCACATCTGGGGCCTGGCTGGATTGAGGGACTTGTGGGATGAGTTCGAATGTGACGTGTTTACGCATTACGCCAGCAAGGCAAAACTGCATTACGGAATCATCATCGATCAGGTTGGGAGCATAGATGGAGATACTGTGTGATGAGTCTGGCTTCTGAGTTGGATAAACTAAGGAGCTGGAGCAACAAGAAATCAGAGTGCGAGGAGAAAGCCAAACTTTATCGGAGAGACAAACTCACAAATACTCCGGGTGTTCAACGCCGAAGCAAAGAAGGATAGGGCCAATATTACGTTCATTCAATCGCGAAAGCTTGTCTAGCATGAGGTCACCAACAACACAGACTTGCACTCTTTAGCGCTCGGATGCGCGAAATCTTGACGGTTTGCGCCCCCCTCCCAGCCTGGCCTGGCTGCCGGGATTAGATCGTTCTAGGAGTCTTCGTGATTATACGGTGTTGACTCAGCTAAGTATCAGTATCCGAGCCATCCTTGGCGAATTCATATTTAATTCGGTAACCCTACGCAACCCGCCTGCGTTCCGCCTCGTTGACGCACTCCCTCTCAATCTAGAGTATCTTTGTCTATACGGGTACGAAAAAGGGAAAAGTGCGGATATGGACGGCCATGGGATGGAGCTCATTGAGAGGAAAGGAGAGAGACTCCCAAAGCTGAAAGAGATAGTCGGAGTGGACGAAATGGTACCTGGGACATTCGTCAAGCTAGAGGGGTGGACAGGTGACCTAGACGAAGAGGGCTTCTGGGAACGCGAGGTGGGCACACTGGGATGGGTGGAAGTGTAGATGTTTCTCGATCATATTCCAGACGGGTCATGAAGTGAGTTTAAACAGACGACTGCTTCTTCTAGTAGGCAGTTACTGGAAGGCTGGATTAGGAATTCCCCAGATATAACGGCTTCGGCAATGAGACTCGGTTGCTGGTCGCGTCGTATACCATTCACTCGAGAGATAAGAAAACCTCCAAGTCGAGTGCTGGCTGTCGGCAAATTCTTTCTTTATAGTGCAGATACGGGTCCTTTCCTGCTATATACGACCATAGCTCGCAGAATATTGAGGGTCCCGTCCGCTCCCCTGTACACAAGCTGCGAAGCGCCAGACTAGTAGTTGGGTCGGTGACGACCAGCGAATCCCTGGTGTTGTATGTTTCTTTTTGTCAATTTTTCTCTATTTCTTTTTTGACAATTTTGTTTAGCGTCCTCGACAAGTATTTTGGTACTGAGGTAGGGGTCGTTTACTTTCATGCGGGGTGCAGGGCACGGTAGACAACGCACAATGGCAGGCACGATAAGTATACTACCAAGATCCATCTGACTTGGTATCTACGAAGTATTGATCAACGTTTTGGAATTGTAAGTGCTCGGGAAAGCGGGCGACATTATGTCTTCATATGATAATGCGGCGGCGTTTGCCAGACGCGGCCAGCAAACTTGGGTCCACTGCTTCAGCACCTCCCTTCGTATCAACAAGACGGATGAACCGTTGGCCCCAATCGATCCCACTGAGAAGGAGATTGATAATTTGGCACAAACCAAAGCCGCCAAACCTCAACGTTGCAAAACGTTTGTGGGTTTGACGTTGATCTCTTGGTGGGATGAAGTGCAACACGAGCACGTGCTGCTTGTTCCGTTCGGGGGCGGCAGTGACATTCTCCGATCGGTGGCGCTCGCATTGTCGTTGATTGATTTGTTGCCCTGACATCATTGGACGCAGCTTCTCCAACTGTTCAACGTTTCCATTCTGCCCGAAACATTCACCGCCCACTACCTTTCACCATTTCCAGCCACAGTCCAAAGCTGAATAAAGCACACGAGCAAAACGAGAGGAAGCTTCGTTGACTTCGGCTTGTTTCGTGGCAGCACGGCGATGAGCGAGAGCGGACCAGCTATGCAGCCGCCTAATGTCCCAGGGTCTGCGATGGAGGTTGATGCTGGCGGAGAAGAGCCGAAGTATGGTGGTTTTACGCGATTCGAGATAGAGCTCGAGGTAAACCACCCCTCCACTCTGCCTAAATTTCCTCTTCTTGACCCGGAAAACATTCTAGCCCGCCTCAAAAGCTTCGAGCATTGTATTGGAAGCTAACCTGCAGTGATTTCTTTTCTAGTTTGTCCAGTGCCTCGCCAACCCTTACTACCTCAACCACCTCGCCGCGCAGAAATACCTTTCCAAACCCGAGTTCGTCGCGTACCTCGATTACCTGCAGTATTGGTCGCGGCCGCCCTACGTGAAATATCTTACGTATCCCGGCCCGACGTTGAAGCATCTCGAACTATTGCAGCAGGAGAGATTTCGGAGAGACATACTGAGCCCGGATCTGGTGCAGGGGCTTGTGGAGGAGGGGATGAAGGCTGCCGTTGTGTGGCATGCGCAAGGCTGAGGGAATTGCGGCGTATGCATGTGTGTGTGTGATTTTGGAGGAAAAATATGATACCCAAGAAGACTATGATTGTTATGATGTTGGCCGCCTTTTGGAAATGTGGATTGATGCTGAAGGTGTGAAGATACTGCCTCGGATTCTACACTTTACACCCCCGTAACCCCGAGGATCCTTCGGCAAGAATATGTCCTAATTGCCATATCAGAGATGATTCTCTGATATCAGGGCCTTACTGACCGCATGATGTCTACCGGGAGCTCTGCTGGACAGACCACGTACAAGTAATGGAATCCCGAGAATCTAGCGGAATGCGGATCGGGAGGCAGCCTGTCGAGAAGGGATTTTTAGATGGATCGCCAAATATATGAGCCTGGATGGGCTGTTTGCTGTGTAAAGGTAAAAGGCATGCTGGCCTCGTACAAGTGCCACTGAGGACGACCTGGAACCAAATTCGGCCTCGGAACCTTGTAGCAACGCGGCGGTTGTGCTTACTTCCCGGGGCTATGGTGGTGGGCGGTTTTGCTGTGCACCCTGGCCTGCCAAATATAAGCACTAGCAAATCCTGTGAGAACCAATGTACCATTTAGCGGACCTTGACCGAAGGAATACAAAATAACTGCGAGACAGTGTTAAAATGGCCAGTTCCTTCTCATGTTGCACCGCCTCCTGGATTCTCGAACCATGCCTAGAATAGCAGGCAAGCCAAAATCATTGGGGGAAATTATTCCCTCGAAAAAGGTACATGAAGGAAATGGAAGCCGTGTCGCCTCTCCTGCCCACCACACGCGCATACGTGGTCCTCGTCGTTCCATTACCCTCCAACCTCGTTATTTGTCCATCTCACCACATCGTCGGATTGTTGTCTTCTTTGTGACCAATTTACAGATCATCTCGACTATCAGATAGCGAGCCCGTTCGAATCCGTTTCGGGTTTTTTTCCCCTTCCCATTTCATTACCGTTCACATCTTAACGAAACGTTGCCGCCAGCCTCCCCGGTCTCACCATCTAATTCCCCTGGCCGGCAATCTATTTTTTATTTTCTTTTCTCCCCTTTCCGAGACACGACGATCCTGCCACACCTATTGCCCTCCCCCATCGCCACTCGCTAGCGACTTGTTTCTCGTGCTTGGAATTGTACTTCTTCAACCTGCCGTAGTCCGATAATACGTTCGACGTCTTTCGAGAAAGTATGGTGAATTAAAAACGCCGTCGAGTGTCGCCTTCACCATGAGCGCCCAAGATAAAGCCAGCAAATGGGCCAAATTCAAGGCACCCAACTATGATGGCGAGGGCTGGGGAGACGACATCCCTAGTTCTCCGCCAAAACCAGCCGTATCCGAGCAGCGAAGCCCACCTCCAACGACATCGAGTCCCGTGTACAATGTCGGCCCCGTAGCTTCCCCGCCAGCACAGACGTCTCCCACCTCACCAAATGCCCAACAACCGACACCCTCGCCTTCCCAATTTCCACCTCGAAAGGCGAGCTTGAGCCGACGGGACGGGAGGGATCGCTCTGAGAATTCTTCGCCGGCAGAGTCGGGCCACAAGCCTTGGGTCGAACAACGATCCGCATCGCCGCAAAACAACAAGTCACCGACGTTAGCACCGAGGGCTTCGCCTTTCATTAGACCTGCCGATATATACCGCCGAATGGAAGAGGAGAAGGAGAAGGAGCGTCGGTCGTTGGATTCTTCGAGACCTAGTTTGGATAGCAACTCGCCCTCGGTCGTGGGGCGGGACACCTCCAGCGCCCCTCTCGCCAAGGCTGCATCAACCGTGCATCCTGCTGCTGGACCCGTAGCACCTTCAATTCCTGTAGCACTAGCGAGGGATGAGGTGGTCGATAGTCCGTCATCGCGAACGCTGCGACCATCGCTTGAGCCGGTGACCGAAAGAAAGAGCGAATACGGATTTGACTCGTTCCTAAACAAGTCAGTCGCTCCTTCCCAACCCCAAGAGCCTCCTAGCTCGGCGGGCGTTGCGCCACCCATTTCCGGTCTGCCTGCTTCGCCTATCTCTGCAACCTCTGAGGCGTCCCGGCGATTTTCCAGGAGTCCACAGCTTCCCGATGTGGCGCGTATGTCTGGCTTTGGCGAAGATTTCTTTTCATCTGCATCTCTCATGCCGAGTGCTCCAAACCCTCCCGTACCTGAAATTTCTTCCTCGATCGCACCTACGCAACCGCCTTTGACGGTTGAGGAGGAAGAAAATCCTACGAATTCGATTGACGCTACGGCATCCTCAGCCCAGGCGCCTTTTCAGCCGCAGCCTGCAGCCATTGACTCGCCACCCACTTCGCCGAGCCCCAGCGCAGCTGTGCAGCCCAACCTGCCGCCAGCCAACGAAAATCCTGCGCAGGCTGCCCCAGTGCGATTATCCCCCGTTTCCGAGCAAAAGTCTCCACAATCCGTATCCATGAATGGGCATGCTGGGCTACAAATTCCAGCTGAACCCAAGGCTAACGTAGAGGAGTATACTAATGTCGGCACTGGCAAGGACTCAGCAGAGCCTCCCGCATCGACCGACTTGCCCAAACCCGTCGTCGCTACGGCTGTACCTGACGCGATGGACAACGAGTCGCCGCCAACCATCGACATCACACCGACGGCTCCGCTCAATCCCAGGGCATCGCCGAGAACGGGTGACCATTTCGAGCCTATGGCGTTACCCCACCGACAATCCACATTCGATACCACCGCCTCGTCTCCCGTCAAGGAGAGCGACGTCCTTCGCGAAGAAATTATCCAGAGCCTTAGTCCCGTTGGGGGTGCTCCTCCATCCGATTCCTTGCGGGTACATCAACCAAGAGATAGTGGAATCCGCGAGAGCACCTACCTCCCTGCCGTCTATGATGACTACTGGGCGTCAACAACCGAGGACAAAGATGACGCAGGGCTGGAGGTGGCTCCGCCGTTAGAGGCACCTGTGGTGGCACCTCTCCAGCCTAGAGCCCAATCGCCAGAAATTGCTCCTCCTCCAGCGCCAGAGCAGACTGGGAACCTGAGACGTCGTTTTTCGTGGGAGGCGGAACCTGCAGATGAGCCCGCCCGACCTCATCTTCCCGTAGATAACTCACAGGCTCCTGCATCACCTGCCCACCTTTCTGCGGATGCGGCAAAGACGTCACCTGTTGCAGAGGCCACTGTTGAAACTCCGGCTGACCTCCCTGCCCAACCCGACGCTTCTCGGACTACGGACGAGGATGCCGATAATAATGAATCCCGACCGGATTCCCAGGGCAGCAATACTCTTAGCCCAAGTGCCGCCGCGGCGCTTGTCGGTGCTGTAGCAGCTGGTTCACCTACGGAAGGAGATCCTCGCCGGCTGTCTCTGGCTGCCGAAAAGGAAATCATACAGATGTCGACCGATGAGGTAGCGAACGATCTCTCTAGCGATCACCCCGCCTTGAAAGACCAGGCCCAGGCCCAGGCCCAGGCCCAACCCCAATCCCAGCCTCGTCCAGAGACTGCCGCTGGTCCTTCGGCTTTGAAACTTGCTGGCTTCCGCGAGATCATGTCCCTGGCCACTCCTCAGGATCGAATCCAAAAATTCGACGAGACACGGTCCCAGTTTGCCAGCATGGATCAAGGTCTTGCTGACTGGATCCTTACTGTCCGGTCGCACCCCGACCACGCCAATGTCTCAGCAGTATTCCAGGCACCAACACGGATGGCCGTTGCTTCCGGAGAGCCGGGTGCAGTCCGCGTCGCTTCGCCAACCGGCGCTGGGCCCAACCAACACGCTCAGCAACCCTACTTCCAGCAGTATCTTAATGCCAGCTCGTCGCATACCGGCGCACCGGGAGGTCATTCCCACACCGCGACCTCGGGATCTCATAGCCATCACGGTAACGATTTTAGACACTCGAGCCAACAGATGGGTACTAAGAGCAAGGAGTTGCTTCTAGCTGCAGGAAAGGCAGGGAAGGGACTGCTTAGCAAAGGGAAGAACAAGTTCAGAGGATCAACTGGGGATAAGGTATTTCTTTGATTGTTTTTTTCTCCCGTTTTTTTTTTCTTCCTTTTCTTTTGTAGAGAGCACGGTCATTACGGGGCATTCTTCATGTTTTTCTTCTTCCCTTCTTGTATGGAAATTGTGATCTTTTTCTTTTGCACATATGCTACTTACACTCACTCACAGTTGTTTTTATCCCTTGCATTCCTTTGTCCCTTTTTCACTCCTTTCACTTCACTGCAATTCCATGAACTATCCATCTACACTAGTTTAGATGGATGGCTATGATTATATTTTTCTTCTTCTATATTGGGGATACAAGGGGGGAAACTACAAAAGAGACGTAATGTATATGCTGGTCTAATGATGAGATGGCACATGAATTTTAAGGGTATTTTGTTTCTCTTATCGAGGGTTCTATTAGGTCTCACTTTTTGTATCCCCGAGATTCCCTCTTCTCCATTTTTCATCCTCACGCCACTTTTGTCACTCCCATTTTTGTTTTCTGAAACCAAACAAAAGAACAGACCAAAAAAGCAAAAGAAGAGAAACACGAAAACAGAAACTCCGCTTTTTGTGCAACAGAATGTTTTATTAATGGTTCTTGTTTGTCTGTAGCAGAACGAGTCTTCTCCGCCCCCGCCCGCCCAACCTTATCCCGTTAAGACCCAACACGATAGGCGCACCTCATGGGGCATCAAGTTTGGCACCGGCGCCAAGGCTAGTCCTCATCCGGAGAGGGCCGGCCAACCACCACCGCAGAACGCTGCCGCCACCGACCCGAACCATCCGGGAGCGTCGCCCCAACAGCAGCAGCAACTGCCGCCGATCCACCCGCCGCCGCCGGGACCTAGCTTCGCGAACCCGGACCTGGTCTCGCCCGTTTCGGAGTTTAACTCGAAGCCTTCCTCGGCGGACGGCGATGATGTCTTTGCCGTGCAGGCCCCGGGGCAAGGGGCCGGTGGTTCACCGAAGACGCCGCCGCCGATGGGGAGGTCGAGGTGGGTCCCTGTTGGGCAGAGTCCGTTGGCGCAGAGGGATAGTCCCGGGGAGGAGAGGAGGGACGATCCTGGTGCCACGCCGACGAGGTCGAATCTCAATGCTAGGAAACGAGCGAGCGATGCTCCGTCGGAGGACTGGGTTGTTGTCTCGCCTCAGCGGGAGTCTGAGCAGAATGGGGATGGTGGTGTTCCTGTGCGGGCTGCTGTCGATGTTCAGGATCAGTCTGATGTTCCTCAGCGGCAGTCTTCGTTTATTGGGTTGCCTCCTATTCGGCGATCTTCTACCTTTGGCGTTGGCAGACTTTCCTCCGAGTTTGCCGAGGAGAGTGCCGAGGCAGCTCCGGCTCAGCCCGAAAACAGGGTGGGTGAGGCACCTGCCGTTCCGCCTGTGCCGGAGGATGAGGTCCTCGCCGCGGCCCTAGAGGGCCAGACATTAGGGAACGATTACAGCCGATCCGACGAGGGAATCTTGGACAAGGGCAAAGAGCTGGCCGAGCGGTCACCGACTCCGCAGCACGCGGTTCTCGCACAAGATGGCGCCGTAGCTCAACCCCCTCAGCAAGTTCCCGCTCCGCCAACCCTAACGCCGCCTCTCGAGAACCGCCCCACCCTTGAGGAGTCCTCGTCCCTCGCCGTACCTGGCCCTTCGCTCTCGCGGAACCTGCCGCCTGCCATAACTGGAAATCCCATCCAATTGCTACCCCCGGGCCGTGGTCAATGGAACTTGCAGGAGTCACACCTCTCGGAGCCGTTGATCTCACCTTCGAGGAAGCGCCCTTCGAGCTCGGCGTCTCAGACGCCCTCGTTTGTGGGCTACGATAAGGAGACGGGGGTCGGTGGGCCTTCTAAGGATGAGTCGAGTGATGAGGATTCGGGCGATGAGAACGCTGGTGTGGTGTTAACAAAGGAGGAGCCTGAGGAGGTTGAACAGCCGGAACCGAAACGGAAAAGTGTGCCGGAAGCCGTGGATGTGTCATCTGATGTTGCTGCTTCGCGTGCCGTGCCCGCCAATTCCGAACAGCCTACGCCCGTGGCTCCGCCAGTCGCTGTTGAACCTGCTCCCGCTCCATCTAATGCTGTCCCGCCGAGTACCGAGCTTGTTAATACTGCACAACCACCGATTGCCGCTCAGCCAACTAATATTATAACACCTGCCGCCGCCGCTGTGCCTCCACCTCAGCAGCCCACCCTCACTAGGCCCCAAGGCCCCGATCGATTCAGTTCCACTCCTCCGATATCTGCGCACCGGTACCCGAACCTATTTTTGCCGGGCCAGCCCCGCCAGGGACAACCGCAGCCGCATATTTACAACCAGCCTGTCCAGGTACCCGGCCAGCCTTTTATTCAGGGCCAACCCAATGCCTACGGACCTGGCGGTGTAGCTCTTCCTCCTGGCGCACGGCCTCCATCTTCCGGAGGCGAATCGAGGCGAAACTCTGGTCTCTTCAGCCAAATCGGAGACCGTATTACTAGAGTCACCTCGCGACCCTCATCTCAAGTCGGACCCAAAGCGCCAGGCGAAGCAGCAGGAGACTCCGGTTCCGTGGCTAGCGTCGCGACCGGAGAGGCCGCGACGGGGCGAGAACGACGCCTCTCGAGCTTTTTCCTCAACCTTAAGGGCTCCAACACTGGCGGCTCCGGCGACGCGCCACCCCATAGTCGGGACAGCATGATTGCGCATTCGCCGTCTACCATGGACCAGAGGAGCCCGGCTACGCCCGACATGCCACCTCCGGATAGGAAGCGGTTGTTCTTTAGTAGTGCTTCCAAGGCGAACAAGCCTGTTGAGCCCAGGGCGGCTCAGGGTGGTCCTGGGAAGTTCATCCCTTCATTTTCTAGGTCGTCTACGGCGGGGCTTGAGGGTGAGGGAGGTAGAGATCCGAAGCAGCCGCGGTTGTCGAGCTTTGGGGGGCTGTTTAGGCGATCTACTGGGCTGCAGGAGGGTGCACCAAGACAGCAACAGCAGCCTCAAGTATACCAGCAGAAGCCGGGAACCCCTAACTCGATGGCGTCATCCGTCCCGGCTCGTCCCGGAACTGGGCCACCCGCGTCGCAGCAACATCATTCGCCGAGTCACTCCACGCAACTCCCTGCTACACAACCACCGCAGAGTGCCGGAGGAGGTGCCTCGGTGGGACCGCAACCTCAGGCGCGTGGTAGGAGCGGAACGACCGGATCATTACCACATGCGCCTGTTGGGCCTAGCCCTCTCAGTCAGCAAGCGCGCCCTGTTGGAACTCCTGCCCCTACTCCTGTTCCTGCGCCGGGACCCACCCCTACGCACGATGAGCGTGGCAGGAGGGTTTCTGGGGCGGGAGCTTTCTTGTCGAATATTTTCCATTCGAGATCGCCTTCTAAGCTGAAGGAGAATAGACTCCCTAGCCCGGCGGCACCGGGTGTATTCCCCGGTCAGCCGGGAGGACCTCCACTCGGGCAGATGCCGTATGGCCAGTTTGGACCTGGGCCTGGGCAAGTCCCGCCAGGATATCGGGGGCCGATCCAGGGGCAGCAAGGTGGGCCGTTTATGCAGGGAGCTGTTGGCGTACCTGGGAGTGTTCCTCCTGGCTTTATGCAACAGCGGCCCGGGCTTCAACCGGGCCAGCCTGCTCCTGGACAGCGGGTTGGGCCACCTGTGAACCAGCAGGGCCCTCCTGGGTTCCAACAGCTGCAGCCGCAGCAGCTAGGACAGCAGGCAGGACAGGCGCCTTTCCTGCAGCAAGGACCTGCGCCCGTGCCTCAACAGGGACCAACTCAACAGAGCTCTGTTATTGCTCCGGGAGTAGTCCGTCAACAGAGCCCGGTCAACCAGCAGGGACCTGTCGCCCTTCCTGGGCAGCAACAAGAACGCGCGGCTCCACAAAATCCCATCAACCAACAAGGACAGGTTCTACCCCCGATTCTTCCTGGTCCGGCTGGCGCGCCGGGCCAGATGCAGGACTGGAGACCCGTTGCTGTTCAGCAGGGACAAGAACAGGCTGCCCCAGAGCAGAAGTCGTTACAGGCTGAAGTCCAAGGTAGACCTGCAGAACCAGTCAACAGAGATGCCAATCAGGAGCTCGTTACTGCTCGTAAAGAAGTGACTGGTGTAGATGGGAACGTGTCTGCTCCTCTGATTGTTGCGCCAACTGCTGAGGTTCGGGAGAGGAGTCCTGAGGTTGCCGCACCTCAGCAAGGAGCGTCTCAACCGGCCAGCGCCAGTCAAGAGATCAACCCGCCATTCCAAGGAACTGTGACAGTTACTACTCCTCTCGCATCTCCAGTCCCTCATTCTACCAAGGAGCAGCGACCTGCCTTCGTCGCGGCCGCCGCCGAGTCATCTGGAGTCTCGTCGCCTACTCCATCGGTACCGACTCCGACTCAGCAGCATGCCACTGAGTCCACTCGCAGCTCCCAAGTCCAAGTTCAGAACCAACCGGCATCCAGCGGCGTCTCCATCACTTCCGTCCCTGGCAAGCCTCAAAGCCCTCCCCCCGCGTCCTTCGAGCAGCACCAGCCATCCGATTTGCTAGGTGTCAGGAAGACGGCATCTCCCGTCGCGAGCCAGAGTCAATCTTCCGCTTCAGGAGCAGATGCCGCTACCGTGAGTCCGCCGCAGGTGCCGACTCATTCGGTTTCGCCGTCGCAGACGCCTGTGTCGCAGGTTTCGCCTTTGGTTAGCCAGGGTGGGTTCGTGGCGGGGCAGACGCCGCCGCTTGGACAAGGTGTGCAGCAGGGGAGGACTACTACTCCTCAGGGACAACCGGTTGGTCTCGCTCAGCAAGCTCCTCCTCAGGGCCAGGGAGTTGTCCAAGGACAACAGGTTACGCCGCAAGGTCCAACAATCCGGCCTGTCCAGCCGGTCCAGCCGGTCCAGGCGACGCCTCAGGGCCAGCGAATGCCGCAGGTCCAGCCTTCCCCTCAAGGTCAGCCAATTCAGTCTCTTCATCAACCGGTGCAACCTGGCCAGCAATTCTATGGACAGCCGATTCCCGGACAGTGGAGGCCTGGACCTGGCCAGCCTCTACCAGGCAGCGCGCAATACCCGGGTCCGCCGGCACCTTGGGCTGTTAATCGCACGTCTACGCAGACGTCCACTGCCTCTGCTCCCCAGCAAGGAGCTAGTGTTCCCCCTCAGTTTAGGCCCGGACAGCCGCCTTTCGTCCACCAGCAGACTGCGCCGCCTGAAGGAGGCTCGAAGTGGTATAGACCCAGCGCGAGTCCCCAGCAGGCACAGCTAGCTCCTGCGCCGGGCGCCAAGCCGGAGAGATCGTCTATGAAGTCGTTCTTGAGCGCGTTTAAGAGGTCGTCTAAGAACCCTGAGCCGCGGCCGCAGCAGCAGGTACCTCAGGGATTCCCACATGGTCAGCATCCTGGGCAGGCGGGGCAGCAGTTCGTGTATGGACAGCCTATCCCCGGTCAACCTGTGCCCGCACAGTTTGCTCGCCAACCTGCTGGGACTTCGGGTCCTGTTCAAGTAGGCCCAGGACAGATGTATCCTCCTGGGTTCGTACCGCAGCCTGGCATGTATGGACGGCCAGTTCCTGGGATGCAGTATGGGGTGATGCCTCAGGGACCGCCGCCGCCGCAGCAGCAGCAGCAGTTGCTTGCTCCCGGACAGCAACAGCGTACTGTGTCTGGCGGTGTCATGACGTTACCATCCCAGCAACAACAACAGCAGCCGCACCCTGGTATGTACGGGGCACCACCACAGGCGGGCCAACAACACCCTGTGCAGCAGGCACCTCCTACTTCGGGGCCGTCGCCACCGGCACAAAGCGCGGACAGGTCTCCTCCGCCTCAGGGACAATACCAGCTGCTATATAGGCTGAGCATGGGGTCTACCTCCGCTCTGGGATCGCCGGCCACGAGTGCGCCTTCTCGACAGACTTCTATCCAGTCGGGCCATAATCAGGTTCAAGTGCAGTCCCAGCCACAGCCACAGCCGCAGTCTGCTGGTCCCTACCCAAGATCGCCAAGTCAACAAAGCGAGGTTCATCCCGCTTTGAGGGAGGGTGGAGCGATGGTATCGCCGCCTCCCCAGCAACAACAACATCAACAACAGGGAATTGCCCCACCGGCCTCCTCGTCGCCTGCCAACGGGGGTGTTAGCGGTGTGGTGCAGCCAACCATCCCACCGCAGGTGGTCACTCCTTCTGCTCTCGTTTCTCCCGGTGGCCCTCCCGCGGTTAGTGTGGCACCCACGACGGTGGTAACCGACATTAACAAACCTCTGCCTCTGCCGCTTCCGAACCTCCACCTTGCGCCAGAGCGTCCAGTCAGCGGAGTCAGCCAAGTTTCAACAGACAGTCCGAGGTCGCAGTCGCCGTCACAGCAGCAACAGCGGGGCGGCGAGTCAAAGACGGCTCCTCTCGGCGGTCACAGCAGGAACGTGTCGCAGATGACGACGAACGAGGAGAGCGCTGTGTCGGAGGACACGACAAGCGCTAATCCTGCTACCCCGATCGATGGAGCTAACAGGACGAAGCAGCTTACTGTCGATACGGCAGCTGCTGTTGTCACGAATCGGTTCTCGCAGGAGGATTTGTACAATGCTACGCCTAGAAAGTTACCTGATGGCTCGGCTACTGAAGAGAAGAAAGTTGAGCCGCCAACGGTGGCGGTGCTTGCCGAGGAAACGCAAGATACGACCCAAGCTACGCAGGCCACCGATACCACTCAAGCTACTACGTCTACTACCGATGGCCAGGCCTTAGTCACGCAAGCCACGGACGTGACTGAGGCAGAGGAGCAAGAAGACGAGGACCCGGCTCTTAAGGAGTGGAAGGCTGCGCAGGAGGAGAAGAGGCAGAAGATGCTCATGGAGGCGCAGCAGGAGAAGATTCTGGTGGAGGGCCAGGAGGGATTGCCCGGTGGTGACGTGGATGAGGACGTGCCGCAGATGAGTGCGACGAGTTATCCAGGGCAGGAGTGGAATCCTTATGCGATGGGCTATGAGTTTTATTATAGCCGGGAGTGAGGAGAGGTCTTGTATATGAGAATGGAGAGACATACACATACACACAGAGAAGGAGAGAGGGTAATAGTTTGTCCTTCGGGGATGTTGTTCATTTGTTCTTTTTTGCTTTCGTTTTATATTGTATCGAGAAGATACCCTTTTTTAGTTTGTCATATTTGAGATGTATACATAATAGCTAGTTCCTTGGAAGGATGGTATCGTGGCAGAAAGGTTAATCATAGTCTCACAGGTTGGGTTTTGACCTGGATGTCTCTGATGTCCAAACGGAGCCGTACTTGTAGCAAGGGCGAATTATTTTCTATTATAATACTGCCTGGAGATACCGAGATGCCCTTTGCCTTTGCCGTAACAGTTTTGATGGATCCTCTACGGCAAGGACATACACATCGGCACATTTGTTAGTGTGGGCCTATCCTGCTCAACGCCTGCGCGAGTCTACCCTTTCTTTGTTTCTAAGGAGAAGTCTGTGGAGTTATTCAAACTTATACAAGTAAATATCCACCTCCTTCGCAATGCCAGACTTGAATTTGGGGCCTGTCGGAGAATAAGACATGCTGATGAGCATAGCGAACCAGCATGTCTTGAGGCTGCAGGTCAGATGTGCTGATGATGGCGGTGAGGACGAAGTTCTTTTTCGTTCCCCCCCGGCTCTCTTCTATATTCTCTATCATTTCTCTTCCTTTTCTTTGGTGTTAGTTTACTAGCGAAGGCCTAAGATGATACGTGGTTCTCTAGATTTGGGTAGGTTTCGCTTCTTAGCTCGAGACCAATGAGGAATGTGATCTTCGCTATTTTGGGGACGTGATGTATCTAACTAAAAGCTCTCGAAAGATAGCCGGTGAGAGATGGCATGAGAGGCTGTGGCAGATTCAGCTCGGTAGTTGAAAGACGTAGAGAGTCATCCAATAGATAGCAGGCTTAGAGAGAGGCGCCCGGGGGGGGGGGGTTAAGACATATATCCTCTGGTACTCACGGAGTGGGCGAGAGACGTAATGTATCCCTGGACGAGAGCGGCATCTTTTGGAGCTTTAAGGAGGGAAAGAGCTGTGTTACCGGGATACCCGAGATTCGTGACGTGATGTGACCGTACACAGTAGTTCTGTGACATACGAAGTAGTCGTGGGTATTTGAGCTATCCATCACCCATGGATTGTTCTCCATCTTATCAGAAGCCGGGAATTAGCTTAGAAGAAGTCAACAGCTACATCCGGAGCAGCGGCCACACTCCCAAGCCCGTCCCTACTTCGGATACGCTTCCCCATTGAGAAGCACACAAACGAGACAAGGTTCGAACTGTACGAAGTAGACCCATCAGAAGACCTGAATGACATTCGATAGGTACCCAGGGTGGTCCATGCTCCGAGCTAATTTGGACTCCCGTCTACCTCAGACACCCTCCCAAACCCTTCCCGTATATCATCCACTTAGACAAGAATTTGCTCTCCCCTCGAGAACCGGTCTACGCTTCCCTGTTCAAGTCTACGCGGATTCCGGGAAGATGGTGTACGGGTTGTAGCCGACGATACCCTCCATCTCATGAGATGTGACGGGAGCGATTACGGTGTGGCCTATCGAGATGAGGGCCAAGGGGAACATTCTACAAAGATACATTGTTGTTGATTGAAGGGTCGTTTGTTTCTTTTTTGACGAGACTATTCATAAATTCTACCTTCCGCCTTCAGAGAGGCCTGGAGAGTGCCGAAAGGGAGGGCGGCGCGAGGCCTCTTTTTTCTCGGTGAGGAACGCGAATACATCCAGGTATTGGCTAGGGGTAGCAGGCTTTCGTCGGTGTATCGAAACCAAGTATGGAGGAGCCCTTGGGAACCCCGGATCCAGCGCCCTCAAAAACTCGCCGGGGACGGGGGGAAGCGGGGAAGGGGCTCTAAGTGGATGATAGATCACTCTGTTTCAGCCGAGCAGGGGTTTTTTTTTTCCTTTTCTACAATGGCAATTCAAGACGATGGGAAATCTCGGCCTCGGTGAAAAGGATGGCAAGCGGGGGCCCAACGTCTGCTCATAGCTTTTGCTCTCCGAGAAGGGCTACATCTGGAATAGGAAGGAGCTCCAAGAAGTGAACGTCACCATTTGGGGTTGGGGGCGGGTGGACATGCTTCCCCGGCAGGCATATCACAAAACGAAGGAGCTTCCGCTTCTGGGACAAGAAACGAGGCATATCAGAAAGCAAACATCTAGCGATTTCAATTCCTCCTACTTTGCATGGTTAGGCCACGAAGGCTGGGCTGAGCTTCACGCCCACCGTCATCGTCAAGGATGTTCGCCCAGTGCTTTTAGATTGGAATGAACCAAGATCTCTTCCTGAATTGCCATCAAGGCCAATCACACCGGCTACTCTGCGGGTTGACAAGCGGTTAGGTCGCTTTCTGCCTTCCAATGGTCTACAAGCTGGTCTCTCAAGGCACATGAGTAGTTCCACGCATCCTCCTGCATATTCCTGAGCTGTCTCCGGCCCTTCTTCCATTCTCCATATGAGTTCGTCATGTTTGTACTGCATATGGGATACTGGTGATACTCTATCTTTCCGGTAATTTCCGATCGATCTGCGTAATGCGCAAAAAAACTAAGGTTTATCCCATCTGAAGTAAAAGTTGTGATAACTGAGTGACCTCGAGGGTCGGATTTTCCGACATAGTTGAGGGCTTTGTTCCTTGCGTAGACCAGGGCGGCCCCATCATAGGCACCTCGAGCCCTTGCCCACAGTAGATTTCCGCCCGGGGCTTCCCACTCCCCGGCCATATGGGGCAGGGCAACTGAGTTTCTTGCCTCCGGGACTTGGATTGCAGCTCCACCAAGTTCATCTGTGATGGGGAAAGGGTTAAAGTCGCTGACCCTCAACCCCTCGGCCACGTCGGGCCTTGGGGCCAGGAGATGATGGTTGAAGCCCACGTCGGGGAATGCTGTGAACGCCTGAGTATAGACTTTGCTATGGCCGGGTTCCCAGGGACGACCTTTTAGAAGTGGGCATCGCGAACATTAATGTGGCTTTATTGGGGGAAAACTCGGCGGCATCAAGGTATTGTAGCCACTCCGATTCTGGTGGAGGGGGACTCAACCTCGACCTATCCAGGCGCGTGCGTTCGTCTTCGAGGTTTTTTGGTAGCTTGGAGCCCATACGGTCTAGTACACCGTTGTATATAGCCTTCATTTCAAAGTCGGATGGGAAAGATGATGGTGTGGAGGTAGTTTCTGATGCTGACTCGTTTCCTTCAGTGGGTGGCCTCGAGGGAGGTGTGGACTTGGCGGGTCGCGTGGAATTCGTCTTGTCGAGTCTTCCCAAGTTCTCTTGGGTCAGCGCTACCGGAATACTCTCGACACGAACGTTCGTCTGCGGGTAGACTGAAGCCGAGCGAGGCGCCGCCTGAGGAGGGTCTGGGTCCCGGTTGCCCTCCAGCGGGAATTGCGCTTGAAGTATTCGTTCAATAGGCCTCTGAGATCCTATTGTCACCACATGACCATATTAAACTTATTTTTTTTCCGCCCAATATGATATATATATATGTGACAGTGTAAGAATACTTACCGGAATCTTCATCATTCAATGGATGCTGCACTCTCTTGATGAGCCCATCGTTTGTGGACGCTCTATCAGTTTGTGGCTGCTCTACGCTGCGAGGCCGTTGTGCCCTTTCCGACATCTTTGCTGGTTAGGGTGGATACTTTCGTAGCTCGAAGTAGGCTCTGCTCCCCTCCAAGCCAAGAGATACAGGCAGATATATATATATATGTGTGTGTGTGTGTGTGTGTGTGTCTTCTAAGTCCCCGAAGACGAAAGGAAATTATCGACATTCATACTTGCAATCTTGGTGGGAAGAATGCTAGACAACCCTTGATGAGAGCCAAGGAACAAGACTACGACGAGAACGACGGGATCTAGCAAATCCTCCCAGACATGATGAGGAACGCACCTTTGTCTGAAAGAAGAATTCATGGATTTCTGTATTGCCTTACACTAAATGGCTGCCTATGAGGCCGTGCACCACCCGGGTATGTTTGGCCGTTGTGTTTGTGTCTCGTCAAAGTCGGGTCAAAAAAGACCGGAGGTCCTTGATTCATACAGAGCGCATCTCCTCCCTCGTTTCTGCCACCACTAGAATCACCCATGAACCTCAACATTCCACATGTTGCCGGATGCGGAATCCGTAGAATCCCCAAGTCTTCATCCAGGGACGGGACGTCGGCGCCCGCACGTGACGAGATCTAAAGCGACGAAAAAAAAAAAAAAAAAAAAAAAAAAAAAAAAAAAGAAAAAAAAATTGAGCGGCAGGCTTAGCCCCAACCTCGGGCGACACAACGTCGGAGACTAAGACCGGGCCTCCGGTGAACCAGGCTTTTCAAGAAGAGCCCCCCGTGTCCCCCTCAATTCCTTCATCCGCCGCGCCTCTTCACCACATTCCGCCCCTCCCGCCTATTCCGGTGCGCTTCCGCCCAGAATCAGATCTCTTAGCTTTCATGCCCGCTATTATGCGACTCGAAGGCAAGCATGCTCGCTTGGCATCAAAGTATGGGGGATGAGGAAGGAGGGAGGGATATGTAGGATATCTATCATATTCAGTCAGGGTTGGCGATCATTCAGCTTGGCATGGAGCGCATGGTTTGGTGCTTGGATTGGATTTGATTGATTATTGATGGCTGAACGATCCTATAAAAATATGTTAAGGTAAATGTATCTCACTAGTGAAATAGTGTTCACAGTACATAAAAATCCACTGAATACTAACGGATCCTCTGAGAACCACCGGAACCAGAGGGAAGATAGTCGACTGCAGCAGGAGCTGACCGCGCTACAACATTGATATCGATCGATCGACCGCAAACGTTGCAGTCGTGGTCCTGCTTTCCCTGGCCAAGTCCAGGCTACTGACGTACACTCCTCTCTAGTTAGAACAGGACTGATACCAAAGATCAAGATCAGTCACAATTAACATTTCAGATCCGGAGATATGTCGCTGTTCAGCTGGCGGATTCGACAGCATGGAAGCAAAAGAACGTCCTAGCGGCAAGTTGAGGGTATTCCCAGCCATTTACTTCGTACGTACATGCCAAGGACGATTGGTCGGACAATAACGATCTCCGATGCATCTCGTCCACATCTATGCGTAGTTTACTAGTGGGATCATCCTTCCTGCCGGATCGAAGAGAGGAAAAAATAAGGGTAACGGCATGCCGATCTCCATGCAAGGCAACGAGATCGACGGAGACCTAGCGGATGGGATGAATGCATGCCAAACCGAGGGGCTGAACATGAGATAAATAGTGGTGTCACACTCTGCGGGATGGGTCAAATCCTTACTAGGGTGTAGATGGGCTCGGAGTTCGGTTCCCTTATTTTTAGGATAGATCATACTGCGCAGATAATGTGCGCTAAAGGAGAAAAAAAAAAACCCGCGCAAGACTCGATGAGACTATCACATATCATCCACAGGAAGAAAAGAACAACAACAACGACAACAACAAGAAGAAGAATTAGAAGAATGAAATGCACTTCTAGTGTACACATATCAGCTGAACAAGGGTAAGGGGCCTCTTCACGGCGACCTCGCACGAAACTTGATGCAGTAGTTTGGGGGAAAGATGGGTAGCTTGTTATTATATGTAACTAGCCACCGAAAGGATAGTGCGGTGGATAATCTCAGCGTGAGAGCAGCGGGATGCCAAGAAGAGAAGTTCGGATGACGTCCGAGACTTGGGACCATCCCGAAACTCAACTTAAGACCGGCTTCCAGATTTCGAGGAAGGGCGGTTGTGCCTTCTGGTCATGTTATTTAGTTCGTAGGCTAAAATACACACGCGTTAAGGGTGAAGAGAAAAAAAAAAAAAAAAAAAAGACGATTCATGTCGAAGCCAGGAGGCCAGGTGAGAAATGAATGAGTAAGAGGAGTCTCATATCGTATGGCGGAAGGGCTAGGCGGAGATGCCTTCCAACACCCGGCATTGGCTGGTAAAGTCGAAGCCACGATGCGGTTGAGGGTACTCAGAGCCATGCGACGACGATCCTTACTGGAATCTGATTGCCCTGCACGAAATGGCGACACTACCATGTGGAGGCCAAGGAGCCACTCCTTTGTGTCTCCGCAGGTAGGAGATTTCATGATAACTAGTTTAGTCGAGGGTTGAGGGGGAAATGACAGGTGCGGTGGTGGACAGCGGAAACCCTTGGTGCGTGGGTATAGTGGATGATTTCCAGAGCTACTGCCGGGTGAGAGAGGGATGGGCACACACACACACACAGTTGCATGGACTAAACAGGTAATAGAAGCAATTGGATGATTGTGATGCCGAAATCCAGGTTGGTGGGAACGTGGGAGCTGTCAGAGTCATGCCCCCATGTTCTTTTAATGCGGCCTTCCTGCAGTGGCTGAGACCAAGACTCCAAGACTAAGACACCAAGATCACTCAACCCACTCCACTCCGCTCCACTCAATCCTGCTTCGATGTTCGCCTGCAGGTGCAATTAATTGTACACTATTACCTCGTCCCTGGTCTACTATGTAATAATACTAGTGATACGTGAGTAATGAAATGCAAATCCCCTGTTTCCTGATCTGTCGAGGCTCGCCCTGCGATTGGAGGTGCATGACTTCATGCAAGCGGAGCCACGTTGATGCTCGACCTGCGCTGTTACTTGCTCTAATTTCTTATACTCCTTTCGTACAGCTAAGAACGGGGGAGAATGTGATCTTCTCCCAGCGCCGTTTATGTATCAATTGATCAGATGGATCAATCAATGTTTCGTAGTTTGGTGAAGCACCACAGTAATGTATCCTAAGCGCGAGAAGGAATGAGGGACCAGCTTGGGGCACCTCGTGATAGAATAACCCTTGCCAGCAACCCCACCACCATGACAGTTAACAGTAGCAGTATCATTACTTAGGTGCCATGCGGAAACACTAGACGAGGGAAGCAGGGTTGATATGATCAACGGCATGACCACTAGGGAGGGCTACCCGATACTGCTCCATCTTCCATAGTGCGGCCGCCAAGAGGAGGGATATTCCTGAAGCGGTGGAGGAAGCAGGCTCGGTTGGAGGAAGAAAGAGAGAACAGATGTGGTTCGTGACTGGCACGGCTTGGAAGACCGGTCGAGGAATACTCTAGTGTATGGGTATCTCAGGGGATCCAGATCCCTTGGAAGGCACAAGGCTGCGCTGCATTATACACTTACACACGCCCACTTCCGCCTTTGGCTGTATGATCTACCTACACCGGCCTGAGTGAGACATAAAACCGTCTTTTCATTTCAATATCGAACATCATGAGCACGCTGGGCGGGGCCGCGGAATTTTGTGGGCTCTGCGGTGCATCGTTCATTGCTGCTATTTGGGGATGGGGCGGGTGGATCTCTGTGAACTAAACATGAGCGAGCAAGATGACTGAGCTCTCTAGAAGAGGCTGGAGGCTGTGCTTGATGAAGGGAGGGGGCGAAAGATGATATATGATATATAGTCTTGAGACCTGGGCTTGTCTCGGAAGTGGTAACCGGCAGCCGACTCCACTCAAGAGTGTACCTACATACTTGACTTGTCCTACGAACTACTAGTCTATCAAAAATGTCAACCGTCTGATATATCTGCATTAACAGTCATCCCATGAAGCGCTAGTTTGGGTCGCAGCCTAGGCCGGGCAGTAGTGGATTGGTTTCGGAGGAGAATACCGTGATGATCGAGACGGAATCCCGTTAAGACGCGGCGGCATCAAGGCATAGCCGCAGGCGGGATCGATCTATAGACGACTCGCTAATACGGGAAGAGACACGAACGGTATCATTGAGAGCCTTGCTATACGAATGATGGCATATTGAGTGACATGAAGCTTTCCGAGTTATACAAGAGGCAGATCCATCTACACGCCACCTTCGTTCGGAGGAGGTTTTCGACACAACCCGGAGATCAGATGGTACCCCCCTCGTCTATCTCCGGGCTCGTCAGAAGATACGGGGATTGGGACCCATGCAAAAGCCCGGATTTGTGACAACTGTAACACAGGGCGTTCTAGGACTTCTGCCTTTGCAAGTTTTTTGCAAGTTTATTTCCCTTCTAGGTCATCGACACCGAGATTTGACGTAAATACGAAGAACGGGCTTGCCTCACCTCACACCGAACCGTGGCGAATGTTGGGGGATCTGATCAACCTACATATAACGGTGAATACGTACTGCGCCGATCCGTATCGTACCAGGCGGAAAATAACCCAATGGGTTATCTGCATCAGTGGAAAAAACGTATGAGGAATTGACGAGACCCAGCAGTTAGGGAACAAAAGAATGCGGAAGTGCGGACAAGAGGTCTCCCATCACCAAAAGAAAAGACGCTCTTTAACCCACCTTCCGTTACCGGAAGTCTACGAGGTACGAAGTAATCATAGTCCGTCCCTTCATGGTTCTAGATGACCCTATTCTCCACAAACCCGGCCTCGAGAACACCATGAAGTTGTAACTTCGGGTTATGTCTCGTGGTAATCAAAAGACCTCGGAGACTTCCCCTGAAGGAGAGAGCCGACTATTAGATTATATTCGAAAGGCGAATCATTCCTAAAGCAAGGCTTATTGGTGGTTCCGGCTCGATTGCATGATTCAGTCGCTCCCCAAGTGGCAACGAGACGGATTGGATTGTGGAAATATACCGGATGTCACTGGCTG